CCAAGTTCTAATAAATCATTCAGCAGCAAAATGACTCTAAGATAAACTTTTCCCCTTTGATGAAATATTTGTTCAGTACATTCTACAATATAGTTTATGTCAAAGTTATATATCTTCCTTGTTAAAGACAAACAAAGAAGGATCAAAACCATTATCAGACACCACTGCTGATTCAGCAGAGGCACAAAAACTTAGCATATCCAGTAAGCCATGTATTTTCTGGCCACCTCGCTTGGTTTTCCTGACAAACACATTGGGAGCTGCCTGTCAGTACTTCTAGTCCATGCCATATTTTGTGTAAAAGAGCAATAAGCCCTTAAGGAAAGTATACTGTTCCCCCAAGCAGATCCTGAGGAGCCTCAGGTGCTCTTACCTGCACACAGGTGGTTTCCAGGGAACACTCTCTCAGTAGTTATGTGGCTCCTGTTACACTATGAGTGCACTGAAATATCTGCAACCAGACACATCTGCTGTTGCATTCAGAGTTTTCAGAATTGTTCTCACAAGACCTTGTTGATAATGCCTGCATTTTGGTTTTGTTTTTAAAAAATTTCCATGGAAATTTCCAGTATGAATCCTAGCACCAGCTATTGATGGCTAAGAGGAGGCTGCAGTTCTAGTGGCAATGAGCTGCAGTGAATCAGAGACTCTGAAGGAACTCCATTATCTCTACTTCAGTTGTAGCACTTCTCTGTCTACAGTGATGTTCTGCCTGCCCATACCACGTTGTAGCATTTGATTGTGAATTGTAGACTGAGAAGCATGTGGCAGTTTTAATACGTACATATGTTATACAAAACTTATAAACAGTCTCCTCAGTTAAAAATCCTAAGAATGTAAGAATTCTGGGCCAGAGAAGGGTCTGCCTAGCCTACTGTGTTGTTTCCAGCAGTGATTAGTGGTGTTTGCTTATGTAAAAAATGTAAGTGCTAAGTATATGGAATAAATAGGCAGAAGTGTTGTGGCTAATGAACTCAGTCACTGCAAGTGGAAAATCCCCCCGGACTAGAGGTGCAACAGGTCAGAGAATTCTTAGGCAAAAGCGTAGATTTGTGTGGTTGGACCCACAATCACATATTAGGCATAGGGACTGGCACAGCACAAACACTAGACAAGTCTGGGACTATGCCAACGGGTTCCAGCCATGTGCAAATAATCTATTTGTCAGGGCATTCGTCTTCAGTGACAATAAGTACAAGAGTGTCCAAATGCAATTAATGACTAACTTACTCTTAATAACTTTAGTAACTTTTCTTTCCATAATAGATTAGATTTGACTGGGTTGTTTTAATTGTTTCAGCATAAACCCCATTTGTTTAGTCTTTATAGATGTTGGACTTGATGATCCTTGTGGGTCCCTTCCACCTCAGCATGTGATTCTGTGTTTCAAGGACTTGGATTGTAGAAGTTACTTTCTGTTGCTAGTTGAAGTGGCATCATGTCACAAAAATTTGCATTTTTGCACAAAAGTGTTTTAGTAAAGTTGCAGTCAGGCTGTAGGGCTTATGGGCACAGGAAATAACTGAAGTTATTACACCTAGGATGTCTTTCGCAAATATGAAATATTCCAAAAAAGGCTAATAGCCAACACTTTGCTTAAATGGGATCAGTGGTGCCATTTCGTGGAGATCCTGCTTCAGTGGGGTTCCAGTCAGTCACGTTGTTGGGATGGGGGTGTTGATCAATCAGAAGGATAATTTCTCCTTTCTTCTCACAAAGGAAACATCTTGCATTGCTCTACAGTAAACTGGGGCTATTCTATTTTAGCTGACAGCAAGTGTCAGTTCTACAACATTTGCTGTTCAATACTGTCATGATGTGGAAGAGTATGGTTTCAACAATCATGAGTTAAAACAGCAATCCTGTTGGATTGCAATCTGCCATGGTAAAGGGTGGCTTGTGCCACTGGCCTTCAAAAATACATACCCAGCTAAACCAAGCTAAACCCAGTACACTGATTTCCAGTGTCAGCCATTAATGGCTGAGGTTATCATTAACACCCTTTTTTGGTGCACTGCACTAGTGAGGAACCACCAGCTGTGGTGGTTCTGCGCCAAAACCAGATGTAGACTTAAGCTTAACTGCCTTGGTGTGTAGATATTGAGTACAAAGGAAATCCCACACTCTTTTCTAGAACAGCATTATCCTTAGTTCTTTGACTCTCAAGACTGAGTCGCTTGGCTGCCTCAAAGACTGTAGTTAACATGCTCCTGCTATTCACCCCTTTCTGCTTTTACTTACAATGTTAAAATATAGTTCTTGCTAAAGAAGATCATGTTTGTTGTTTGGGAACGATATCCCTGATGTTCAGTAATGTCCCCATTCAGACTAATACATAAACATATCTTTGAGTTCCATATTTCAGTAAGCCCTTGAAGGCCCTGGAGCACATGCATTGTGCATGTCAGGATGAAAGTTTAATATGATGTTTCTTGTTGTGCATTCTCATGTTTCAACAGAAATATATCTGGCAACTGTTACTCTTCTATAGCCAGTCTGAGAGAGAGGGCTTTCTTATTAACTCTCTGGAGAAGAAATTTAATAAGACCCAGTCATGAAAACACTGACATGACTGAATAAAGTCCTTCATGTCTAAACATCTGCAGGATTGTAGCCTACTGTAAGAATGGAATAGTCTGAAAAGTGTGTCTATAAAATCTCAACGTGGCACTATATCAACACATACTCTTTATACAGTCTTAAGGCTGTCAAGTTTGAAGAGTTTCTTTATCTGTACCATTTCTATCCCATCTTGTGTCTGGACTTTTTTCTGCCTGTAGATTCCCATTGGCCAGATGTCTGACTGAGGCTAAAGATTATTTTCGTGTACATTTTTGTACAGTACCTGTATTCTATTTTAAGGAAAAATATACACATGCATTTTTCTTCTTTATTAATAAACTGAGTGACAATTTAAAATAAATTCTTTCAGCTGTTCAGAATGGTACACAGATGTACTGGCACATTTCAGAGTGAGTTAAATAGAGAGCAAAGCATTACATCACCTACAGAGCTGAGGAAGAGGAGATGGTCTCTGACCACTAAAGCAAAACAAAGCAGTGCCAAGGTGGTGACTTTGAAAAAGATAAACCAGACTTACCTCTCCTTGTAGATTGTGTGAGGAACTCTGATTCCTTACCACCATTAATTCCAAGGCCAGGTATCATCTCACAGTAGGTAACCCTAATTCATAGGATGCTTAAGTCTTTATAGGAATTTGCTCTCAGACTTGACAGTGAAGAGAATATTCACTTGGATTTTGATCTAATTTAGGTGCATGTGTAGGTAATTATTATTCCTAAGCTGCTGCTATGGAGAAAGAAAAGAAAGGTTCCTAAGGGTATGTATGTTGGAGATGTACTGCAGATTTCTCTCTGAAGGACCCTGTCTCTATATGGACACTCTGTACGATCCTATAACCTTAACTGAGACAGTAAAAGTGAGCTGTGTCCTCTCCCTCTATCCTCTCTACCTTTCTGTTCTGTAAACAAAGGCAGTATTTTTTCTCCTGTGAGATTGGGGGTAACATTCTAAAGGAGTTGTGAAGCATGTGGATAGTATGGTGGTCAAAGACTGAGAAATGCCAAAATGGGAGGTGTGTTTTGTTGGAAGAAAGTAATATTCCAAGAGGATTGACTTGGAATGGACTGTTACATATGTACAAATTTTGAGGATGTGGTGAAAAGTTACCTTTCTTCATAAAACAGCAGCAGAATTAGATGAAAAGAAAGTAGAAGCAGTAAGAAGTTAATAGATTTAGCATGTGATGTGATGAGAGAGAGAACAATCACAGCATCACTTCTCTGGAATGACCCAGAGTATGGGTCATTCCAAAGGGTCCATTTATATGGAGTGTGCAAGGGATGAGGCCCAGGCAATTGCACTGTGAGTTCAGACAGCACCCTAAGGGAGATTTCCAGAGGTGGGGCAGGGATGGAACCCACAACCTCGTTGTTATCAGCACCATGGCCTTGAGCCCATTTCAGGATCAGTGTCACTTGTGAGAGGGTTAACATGTACTGAGTATTTGTTCCATTACAGGTGGCGTTCCTGCACATTTTAAGTACATATAACTGTTGAGAGGGCTAATGTTTACTGAATACTTGTTCCACTAAATTTGGTGTTTCTGCATAGCTTATGTGGATATAGTGGTGACAGGGTCACCATTTTTATAATGTTTGTGCCATTAGAGTTGCTTATTATGGATTTCGAGTGTTATCTCATCTTAATCCACACTGAGGGGATCTGTGAATCTCAGCTCCTCTCCCCTTCTCATAGTGGGAACATGACAGAGTGGTTTCTTTATGTTCCCCATAGTTCTATCACTATCACAATGTAAGAGACCAGGAATTATTATTTCACCATACTGTATGTATTTTTATATGAGATGGTGGTTTCTGTACTTGACTCTGATTACAAAGCATATGTAAAGATATTGCTGACACAAATGCCTTATCAAAAATGTTAGTGTCCCTAGCTACTGAGACAAAACTGCTGAATACTGCATTTTAGGAGTGATTTATACCTGATGTATTGATGTCCATGATTGGTCAATTAATCTGACCACAATTAATCTTTCTACTAGTGATAGGTATAGTAATTTTAAAGGTCTAAAAACAAGGATGATATTACGGGGTAAAGGTTGAAATACTTTTATCTGGTAACTTTTCTTTAAACTCACTTGGTTGTGAAAGTAGAGGAGACTTTTTACTCAAAGCTTTCAAGGTTTACAGCTATTAAATTGACTGGTCTCAGGAATCTTGTCATAGTGCTTCCCTGAGGGTAAAGTCATCCCTCTACAAAGTGCCATTCATGCCCTACTTACCCTCAATTAAGGCTTCCAAAATAAGTGTGCAGTGGGACACTGGCCTTCTTCTGAAACACATTCCTCATCTGCAGAAAAGACTTTGGAAGACTGTATTTAATATCTGTATGTCTGTTCCTCACTTTTTCCATCATAAGGATAACGCATAATTTTTTTTTTCTTTCCCTCTCTTTAGAAACAGAAAGAATGACTTACTGAGGAACCAAGTTAAAAATGAAAGAAGTGAAGATTGGTCATCTCTGCAGAGGAAATTACAAGGTATGCATAGTAATCACACTGGAGATTCATTTCTTGATGGTGCTTAGGTCTTCATGGTACATTACCTGTGGCAATAAAGTTTGAAAACAGTCCTCAGAAACCTTGAGAAAGATGTTTGGAAAAGAACTTTTTTCTTCTGTGTGATTGCCACAGTAAGCAAAGCAAATATTTTTATGGTTATAAATATCTTTGAGATGCACCTTTAAGCTCATTGCTGTGCTGAATTGTAGCTGTGTTTCTGCAAGTAAATGGCAATCACATTCAATGAATTGTTTTTTTGGCTGAGGCCAGTAAAAATAACCCTTCTCCCAACACTAAACTGAAATCCCTCCAGATACTGTCAATGGTCATTCTTGAGACTTAAAGTGCTTGTTTCATGGGCACATTTAAATCACTGTATGCTTGGTTCAGCAGTGTTAGCATTTTCTCTTTCTCATTTATTACTATCACAAGGAGATGCACTTAGTACCTGTTTTGCACTGCATTTGAAGAATGTGTCCTTTTACATTTGTCATCCTGAAAATTTGTAATTTAAGGGATGCAAAATCAGCACTACTAACAACTCCTGCCTCTCAAATATTTTCAGTAAAGTGAATGCTTCATATTTATCCAGTGACTGCTCAGAGACCAACACAAGGCTATATGTCACTTAAGTCCTGAGGTTAAATGTTGCTTCAGTGATGCATAAAATTTGTATTGACCATCTGCCCAGCATTGAGTTGAACCATTAATGAATAAGCCTCACAGTGTGACTGTGAGATAGGGAATTATGATCTCCATTTAACAAGTGGTAAAACTGAGCCCCAAAGAGCTTAGGTAACCACTTCAAGTTCTACAGGAAGTGTGTAATAGAACCAGTAAGGAAGCCTAGCTCACCTGAGCTGCCATCCTTCCTATCTGGACACCCCTGCACCTGGTATCCTTTTCACCATGTTCTGTTATCAACAGCTATACACTCTTTATGCACAGCTCCTACCATCAAATTCTCTTGCAAAGAAGCTTAAAGCACAGCTGATGTGACCTGTGAATCCTTCTCGTCCATAAAGAACAACATGAGACACAAGGCACAAAGGCAGCACAAACAGCACCAGATGGCCTTCGTAACTGGAGCAAGTCAGCACAAAGTGACAACAGGGAGAGCTGTTGTTGTGGCCTCCCTTTCTATTTTTTTGCATAATGTTGAGAGGAAGACTATGCAGATCTTTCTGTAGTACAGAGAGGAGCTGGTGGTAGAGGGCAATCAGTGCTTTGCCTTTTGTAATCTTGCTCAACATCTCTTTGATTTCTTTAGTAAATGTCAGGTCACATGCTTGCATTCTAAAGCTGAAGTATAAATCATCTTCTCAAGTGACAGAAACTGTCATTTTTCCTTGCAAAGTATTTTTCTAACTATGTCTTATGTAACGGTTACAGTTGTTGACATTTTTCTTAAAAGCCCTGTTGGTTTGACACTCAGGATTCAGTATAAAGCTACAGACTTGGATAGAGAATTCTTCTGCCTTTGCTTGTATCTCTTTCCCATGAGCTGAAGAAAGAAATATTATGCAACTCTGAGTCATGCTGTAGAAAGGTGTTGTATTTTTAATATCATTAGAATTTTAAAAGAAGGAAAAAGATAAACCTTACCATAGGTGAAACCAAGAGTTAATACACTTCAATTATAGAAAGTGGCTATTAAATTTTGATGGGATGCCATGACTGATACTTCAAATAAAACGTTGATGTGGCGAAGTGGGGAGTGTCGATAATGAGTTGAATACTAGAGAAAGGCTGTTGATTTTTATGGAAAATATATATATAAAAAATACATGATCCTCAACCAAAGACATTCTTGTGGAAGTATTCATAGGAAAAAAATCGAAGTATAGATTTCTTATGTCTGTCTTGGCTTGTGTCTACAAGAATGCAGTATCTTGGCATAGATATAGGCTGATAGTACTTGCCCACATGAGATGTTTTACTGTGCCCAGCTTAAGGATGGTATTGATTCCTGCCCAGCTTAAGGGTGATACTCTAGCATTATTAATCTGCTTTCCCTCTGCTCTTTCATGCCTGCAGAAAAAACTATTGATACGTCTTCCTGACAGGTCTTTCTGAGAAGGAACAGCTGCAGAATGTGGAATCAGTTGTGTGAAATTCCTGTTGGCAAGGCCTTTGACCTTCAACTTCTGCTGGATCCAGCTGAGTGATAAAAAGAGAGAACTTTTGCAGGTATTTAATGTCTTCACCTGCACTAATCTCACTTTAATGAGAAGCAAATTATTCTGGAATAATAAGTTCAATGCTACAAGGGTGATTGGGAATACCAGGAGTGTAGTGTTGAGTGGGCCCATTAATCCTACTGCATCCAAGTCCAATGTTTTAGTTAAATTTTAAGCAAGCTAGAGACCTTTATGGTAAATGCAGGGTATTTTAAGACACATTTAGTACTCTGAAGATACATTAGATGTCTATATTGACATAGTTTTCATCTCCCAAAACCAGCATCTGAATTGTTTGGTCAAGTATCCTATGGCCACCAAAGAATCTAGAAAGGATTGCTGAATCTAGAAAGGAAAGTTAGGTCTTGATCTAAATATCTCTGCTTTATAATGAGATACTGTCTTATAGCCTTCACAGCAAACTTGAGTTAAACTCAATACAGACACATGCTAGAAAGAGACACTTGTCCTTGTTAAGAGAAGGAGTGAAAAGTGCCCTCCTCATTCCTATAACTAAAGGCCAGACTCCTCATTGAGTTTAGAGCAACCCACCCTGGCATCTGTGGCATCTTGTGATCATAACTTTGGGGTTTGTAGAATCACAGTTCCCTTCTTGTCAAAGCCAGGAGATGGTCCCTGTGGAACAGGTGCTCTGTGTCAGTGCAGGTACTCAAATGATGGTAGCACTGAAGATTCTCAAGGCTGGTTCATGGACATTACAAACTTGTTCTCCTCAGCACAGAGAGGAGGAACACAATAATTTACAGGGGTGAAAGTGAAGCACAGCTGTGAATACCTTAAGATGTATAACCTCAACAGATAGGGGTAGATCTTTAAAAGCCTTCACTGTGGGTCAGCTTGTAAACTTTTCAGGGAGATTGACTGCTGAGTTGCAGTTTGCCTTTGAAAAGTCTGATGAGTTATTTCAGCATCTATAGAAGCCAGAAGAACTGAGCTTATTTTTTTGAAAACTTGACCTAAGTATTTGCTCAAGATTATGAAAGAAATACTTGGTCCATACATACCAATGCAGTTAATTAATTAATGGTAAATTAATCTAGCTCACTCAAATTCCTTCATACTCAAAGGACCTTCCTCTCTCCCACCTTTTCTGTTCCAGTGATTTTTTTCTGAGTACTTGGAAGGCAACGCAGCTCTTCTGTGCTAATTAAATCTTTCTCTTACTGCCAGCTGTAACAGAGGGAAAATCCCAGTAGGACTGTCAGAGAGTCCTGTTGTGCTCATTAGACCATACTGGTCTGGAACCCTAAAGTCTCCAAAGGCTTACTGGATAATCTCTTTTTAAGACCTCTGTTGGTACCAGTTATCTCAAATAGCAAACAACTGTCAAGTCTCAGGAATCTGCCAACAGTAGGTCTTCCCAGTCATCAGATAAAACAACTTGAAGAGAAGGCTCTGGGGAGACCTTATAGCCCCTTCCAGTGCCAAAGGGTCTCCAAGAGAGCTGGAGAGGGACTTTGGATAAGGGCCTTGAGTGACAGGACAATTGGGAATGGCTTCCCACTGCCAGAGAGTAGATTTAGATCAGGCATTAGGAAGAAAATTTTCCTTGTGAGGGTGGTGGGGCCCTGGCACAGGTGCCCAGAGAAGCTGTGGCTGCCCCATCCCTGGAAGTGTCCAAGGCCAGGTTGGAAGGGGCATGGAGCAACCTGGGATAGTGGAAGGTGTCCCTGCCCATGGCAGGGGCTGGAAGTGGATGATCTTTGAGGTCACTTCCAAGCCAAATCATTCTGTGATTTCATGAGATCTGCAAAGAAAAGGAAGATGACTGAAATGTATGGCTGGAGCAAGAAGTCAGAGGGACCATTCTCCATTGTTTGTTTTTAAGAAGTTTTTTAAAGGAAAAATACTTTTCACTGATAGGTTTTTTGAATGACTGAATACACTGAGAGCTCAGTATTTGCAAGGCCTAGAAGAACACACTTTGATTTTCTGCTGGAAGACTGCAGTCTTTGGCCCTCTCGATATTAATAACATTGGAGCCTGGGTTTCCTGTTGATGTTTCTAAATTGAACTTTAATCGATCTTGAAAAGGACTTTAATAACCTGAATTATGACCCCCAGTGCTAGATTTTTGATAGCAGAGTGAGCCTAGCAGTACTGCTTTTCTCATGCTCAGCATTTCTTCTGATATTTTTTGCCACTTGTTAGGAATCTGTATTTTAAGAAAACCTTAGTCTAGGAAGTGCCTTTTCCCAGCAATTTTTCTGTGTTTAAGTGGAACATTTTTACATCATTCACATATATTTTTCCTCCTTTTGAAGCAAATGGGTGTTTTTAAGGAACTCCTGAACTTCAAAATCTAAAAATGGAAAATTCGTTCCCTCTCCAAGTATGACACAGCGTTTGTCATTTGCACCAGATGGGGAAGATGAGCCAAGAAAGCAGCATAGATAGTCAACCTTTTTTTTTTTTTCATGTTGATGTTTTTCTGTGAGGAGGAAAATGCACTTTTTGACTCAATATAGCGTTTTAAGTGCTGGGTTGTCTGTTCAGAAGAACTTAGACTTGGTTTTAATAAAACAGACTGGATAATTCAGAGCCTTTCTGAGAGAACAACAAATAACTGAAAGGGGCTGCCTTCATTTTTGGCCAAGAAATCTAATGGGGAGTGCTAAAAACCACCCCATAGCTGAAAACAGGATTTTCCTTTAGTGCTCTGTGTGCATTTATTTGCTGCAGGAAAGGTTCTGTACAGTGCTGATTCTCCAAAGCAGATGGCAAACAATGATTAACCAGTTCCTTCCAACTGCTCGCTCATGAGCAGACACCAAGTTGAACCAGTTATTCATACTGAATTAATCTTAAAAAAATCATGTAGTTATGAGCATAAATGTTCTCATCTAAATGGAAACTTTCCCAGAATAGTGCTCTTGGGGCTGGATGGATATCTTCAAGCATATTTGCAGTGGCAGAGGGTATGAAAAAGTAAATGATAGTCGAATATGATTATAGTTCCTAATATAATTTAAAATTATTCCATTGTAAGTGAAATAGTGATGCAGAAGGGCAGGACCTCTGATCCACGTGCATTTGCAAGCCTGTCCTACACAGCAGTAAATGTCTTGTGTGGCTGCTGAGTCTTACTATCCTGTCTAAAGCTTCTTTTAAGATTTGAATGGAAGCACTGCTCTAACAGTTGTATCAAGGATTTTTAGATTTATGGCATTAAAACCTAATGGAAAGCACATTTGCTGTACATTCACATTCCTAAGCTGCTCTACTCATGGCACTTCAAGGCCAAGTGAGGCCTAGGATAGGTGAAATTAAAAAGAAAAGATAAAACCTTTTGATATTGATAATTCGAGAAATGGTGTAAATACTGTCATCAGCAAGATCATAATGAAACAGGCTGGGGGCAGCCATGTAGGAAGCAGCTCTGCAGAAAAGGATCTGGAGGTCCTGATGCACAGGTTGACACACCCTGACTGTGCATCCAACTGCATCCAGGACTGCATGAGCAAAACACGGCTCAGAGCAGTGATCCTCCCTCTTCACAGCACTGGAGAGACTGCTTAGAATGACAAAGGGGTTTAGCTTGGGAGGGACCTTAAAGGCTCATCTCATTCCACCCTCTGCCATGGGCAGGGACACTTTCCACTATCCCAGGTTGCTCAAACCCCCATCCAACCTGAGCTTGGACACTTCCAGGGATGGGGCAGCCACAGCTTCTCTGGGAAACCTGTTCCTCACCACCCTCAGAGGGGAGAGTTTCTTCCCAATATCCCATCTAACCCTGCCCTGTCAGTGTGAAGCCATTCTCCCTTTCAGGCCATTCTAAGCAGACTTTCTAGTGGGTTCTCCATCCTTCAGTTGGGTGTGTGCCTCAGCAACCTGATTAGTTAGATCTGCTTTGAACAGGAGGTTGGAGTCGATGCTTTCAAGGACCCCTTCCAACATGTTCTGTCATTCTTTGATTCTTTCACAAGGACTAAAAAAATATTGCAGACTTGGACCACTGAAAGACCAAAAAGAAGCAACTTAAATTCTTTAAGTGGAATTAATAATACTGTACATCTGCTTGTTCACCTTCTGGCATCAAAGAGCTGGGGGTTTATGTAACAAATAGTTACCTTAGCATTTTTCTGTATGGCTCTGCCTAAAGGAAAATCACAGCTTTGCTACATGATAACAGAATTCTTACTGACTTTAGGAGGCTCTGAATTCTGCCAGCTTGAATGGGCATCACTGAAGGGTTCTTTAAAGTCAGATAATGGTTTTAATGTGGGGAAAACTTCAGAGAATAGCTCTGAGTTTTTCTGAAAGTGTATTTTACAACATCAGACTCCTTTAGCATATACGCATTAAGTTACGCTAGTTTTGGAAACAAACACACAAAGAAAAGGTATTTCTCTCAGCTTTGTACTGGTGTTCCTGGAAGCACAAATATTTAACTGAGCTGCTGAAAAAAAAAGAGGGAAAATTGCACGTTAGGAAAGCTTCCCTACAATCACCAAGTAAGAAAGTATTTCCAAGCTTTGGAAAATGTTGACCAGATCTGGCATTTAGGCAGCTCATCTTACAGAGAAAGATTATGTAAAAAATCTGAACTTTATCGTAGGAGCTTGCTTACACCCTGAAAAAGCCTATTTTTTACAGCCAGGATAAAACATACGAAGTGCAGTATAAACACACAGTGCCCTGGTAGGGCATATGGTCCTTTACTGCATTTCTCTCAAGGGGGAAGGGGTTCTGACATTGCTCAGGCTGGCTTTATGCAATGGCACTTGGCAGCAGAGCATATAGAGCCCTGGTACTGTTATGTTTGGATGATAAAAAATGTCCAGGATACGTTTCCTCTTCTTATCTAACCAGCCTGTTCTACTTTATAATGTTGTATATGCTAGTGATTACAGCATTTTTAATTGTCTGGATTATGTGTGAGTACAGATAATGACAAATTCATGCTAGAGTCTACTTGGACCATAAAAATTTTATGCAACTCTGAGGAAAAGTTACTGTTATTAAAGAACCATTTTGGAAACCAAG